TCCCAAACTTCAGTGTTTTCTGGAGCAGGACAAGGGCTTTAGTATCTTTCCTGAGTTCATGCAATTGCTTCCTGGTATTTGGCAGTTGTGGAGTGGATAATTGGTGTTGACAAGCTTATTTGAATAAAAAAATGTATTGCTGTGTAAAGCTTGTTTGCTTTTGGTGATGCCTGCGCTACCATTGGGGTGAAGGAGGTTTACGAGCTTTCTGCCTAAGGAATCGCAATCCCACCTGGCACTCGCTGCAGTGTTTCTGTTGCTGAGTGTGGTCTGCGGGTCCAAACGGCCTTGCTGGACACGGCATGGCAGCGGGTTTGAGAAGGTGGCTGCAGAGCACCTTTGCTGCTTGTTTCGGTGTATGCCAGGGCGCTTTTCAGCAGGCTAGCGAAAACACCGAAACAAACCCAAACCGTGCAGCGGATTTCATGTGTTTCACGTTATGCTCAAGGGTGTGTGTCGGGGCTGCCGGGCTCCGCTCGGCTCTTTCATGGAATCCAGAGCTGCTGGTTGGGTGGGAAGGGGGAGGAGGGAAGATGCGGCAGAGGATGATGGGATCTCTTTGTTTGATTTGATTTGATTTTTGCTTCTTTCATTTAACTGTGATTGTGCTATCATCTGATTTATAGAGTTAAAAATCCCTCGCTGCCTCGGGAAGTGTGTCATTTTAAATGGTGAAAAAAGCAGCACTGTGGAGTCTAGGGGGAGGCAATGTGCCTCAGTACAAAAGTGGTATGGATATTGAAAAAAAAAAAAAACCTTGGCAAAATGGGTTACTTTAAAGGCATCAGGAAGTTTAAGTTCAAGTGTATATTTTCTTAATGATGGGTGTACTCAAAATGCGTCAATCAATTTTGTGTTTCAGTGTAAACATCCTGTGCTAGCGTCTGGGAAAAGTTGTGAAAATGTCTATAAATAAAAAGATAAATTTGATCGCTTTGCTTAATCTTGCAAGCTTAGTGAAACCAAAAGGTAAATAGGGAGAGCAAATAGTGAAAACTGAATTCTTTCAATTTGTCCCTTAGCCCACAATACTCCGGGGCTCAGGGGTATTAGTAGGAGTGGTAGAGAAGACTGTAACCAGACATTGTGCCTTTAATGAGCAGCAGTTGTGCAGCAGGTCAGCAAAGGCCCTGCTGACCTTGGCAGCGTGACAGGGTCCTTGTTCAGCGCGGATTCACTCGAGCCTCTCCTCTCTGCACTTCATTAAACATAACCGGGCTCCTCGGCCATGCTCGTCTTGTAGGATGTGGAATTTTCTTCATCAGACTGTGGTGAAAGCAAAGGAGCCCCCACTCTTGGCTTGTGCCCGAGGCCCCTTCTCGGCAGCTCGCCTCGCGTGTGCGCATCACTTCGAGGAGGGAAGATGGCCTGTGTGGCCTCCTGCAGTGCCTTACAAAAGCTGGTTGTGTTCGTGCATCTTGGACGCTCATTTCGGCTGCACCGGGACTGCCCTGGATTATTCTTGCTTTGGCAGCTGATGATCCAGAAAGTGCCATTTGTCCTGGCTCCCAAACGCGTGCGTGTGTTGGCAGCAGCAGAAGCTGCGGGACGGACCTTTCCTGCGCGGCATGGCGGCGAGGTCAGCAGCTTCCACCCGATGCGGCCTCACACACCGAACGTGCTCCCTGTGGCGGCGTGTCCAACCCACTGGCTTTCGCTGGTAGAGCTCAAGGCACATTCGTGGCAGTAGTATGGGGAGTAACACGCAGGCTGCCCGCGGGGGCTGCCCCACGGGCATGCAGCCGGGCCCAGATTTATGCTGCAGGTCATGCCGGCAGCTCGCAGCAGCTATAAATCAGTGCAGAATTTGTCTCAGAATTTGGGGCCATATGGTGTGTGTGAGCACAGGAGAGAGAGAGATGCCCGCGCTGAAGGAGAATAAAGGCCTGTGTTTGGCTCAGGGAGATTTCAAAGCCTGAGAAAGGGGCAAAGTTCAATTTGTAATTGAGTGCTTTGAAATATATATATGTATATGGTCAATGTTTATCTTCCAGAACAAAGATCACTCTGTTTTCCAAATGGTTGTGTGATGGTGCGGAGAATTGCACGAAGGAGTCGCGACCACGAGGGGTTCCTCTGAAATCTATGGCAGGGCCCGTGAGGGTAAACGCTGCCCGGTGTGAGCACAGGCTGCAGCGTCAGCCCATAACTCTCAGACAGTTTGATGGAGGAATCAGTGAAAACGTAAATGTTTGGTGTGTTTTCCTTGTAAATGTATATGCATGGTTCACATAATTAGCTCAAAAAATGCAGTTATATTTGTAATAATTATTATATACAAAATCCTGAGGTTAATTATTCCTTTGTCTATATCCTGTACTGGGTATAATTTGCATAACAATAGGGACATCAAAGCTAGAGCAGTTTGGTAAGAGAAAGGTCTTTCTGCTATGTTTTTTTGTTGCCAGATAAATTAGAATGATCAGTTTAATCTAAATTTATTCTTTAGATTTTTTTTTCAGCAAATCAGTTGAAATGGGAATTAAAAGCAAACTTTAAA